GGAATTTAATTCAAAGTTATATTAATTTGGTAGAGATTAATGCTTATATTATATATAAATAACAAAATTTTATATAGTCACTACCACGGACCTAAAAAAAGATCCGTGGTCACTACCTTAGATTAAAACAAAAAGGGTAGATACGGTACGCTCATACTTGCACTTGCATCAAACAAAAACTGATCCCACGTCAGCGCGAACGGGACGGCGAGATCAGGGGCTTTTCACTTCGAACTACAATTATTTGTATGGACATCACAAACGAATTTTAGATAAGTAATATTTCACTAGATGGCGTTATTTAGATCTTTTTTACGTATGGTATTCCTCCAACTTCATATATATTTTTAAACAGTAACACAAAATTATACCTGTGGCTGTCAGTGACTGTAACAAAAATCAAGAAAGAAGAAATACAGTTTATCAGCATATATTATTTACAACATATTTTATTTTGAAATAATAAACTAAAGAATTGGCTGTATGGGCACAGTACCCTTTGCCTACCCAGAATGGGTAAAGAATCTAAAAAAAACAACTGTAACAAAAAAAAACTGTTCCGTTTACTTTACGCTTCGTGAATTTAATGTTTTCTTGTGATTTTTGGTGGTTTTTCCAACGATTTCAGCTATTTTTCCGGACTCCGATTCTCCTGCTTTTACGTTTTGACCCCTGCTCTTCATATCGGTTATTGATTTGGCTTCACTTTGGATTTCGTTGTTCTCGAAAATGGCATCTCAGAGAAGATATTGTGGTGCCTAATTGCAATGTAACACGTATGGGTACTTAATTCCATTATATGTAATTGAATTTCGGGGTAATTTGTAGGGTAGGGGGAGGGGGGGCTCCCCCCGACCCCCCCGCCATAAAAGATTTTTGGCGGAAATGCAGTTTTTTTTTTTTACCTAACCTAAAAATTCATTAAATCTGTTATATGTAGTGGAATTTCAGGGGGATAGGTATTAGGGAAGACCCCTCAGAGGGAAGGGTCGTTTTTTTTACAGAAATGATAATTATAAAAAAATAGAGGGGTTTTAAAGGTAAAACTGTACTTCCAGGGCCTGGAGGTGATATTTGTATTTTTTTGTAGAAAAAGTCTCTATTAACGAATTTTTCTTTCTGGCGCTTCGCCGGCCGCTGCCGCGGCACGCTCGCTTCGCTCGCTCGGCTCGCGCGTTAAGGTCACAACACTGACCTAACCTAACCTAGTGTGAAGTATCACCACACATCAGTGGCTCATTAGAGTCCAAAACTCGCACTACACTCGACTCTTCAGGCGATGGGACAGCAGAACTCGAGGCCGAAGGCTTTGAGGATGCCATGGTAGTCAGACGATGTTAATATCAACAGGAGTACGAAATAGCTCTTAACTGCGACGAACACAAACACTGACTGACAGATCTCATTAATGGCGGTAAATTGTCACATTTTGACAATAGTACCAACATAATAAACTTATATTTACCATAGACAACGAGAATCATGTTATTTTTGCATAAAAAAATGGCAGCACTGATCAAAATTGCTGTCAAAATTGACTCATAACCTACAAAAATATTAATTTTCAATAATTTTTTTCTCGAGTTCTATTCGTTTCCGCCTAAAAAGATTTCGTGTATGTGTTTTTAATAGTTAATACTTTGCGTGACAAAAATTTCAGCTTGCAACTCAATTACATATAATGGAAAGCTGAGCCCACGTATGTATTACCAATCAGTTACATATAATTGAACCTCTATAAACAATCCTTTCTTGATTTAACTATTTGACCAAATGTTTCAGGCGCAGATAAAATACCAATGCAATCGTTTCCTAACCCTGACATTCACCCCGATCGATTCCGAACTTGGCTTCCGCTGTCGGAGGAGAGATATTAGCTATGGACAATAATTATTTTTTCAAGCAAGGAATAGTTTGTCAAAAACATTTTGTGACCAAATTTCTTACTTGGACTAGAACACTCTCCACATGCTGTCCAACTTTACATTTGCCAGGTAAATTTCTGATTTCAAAGTTTTTTAAAACATCGAGTAAAGAGTGTATGTAATGGTCTCTTAATAAAAATCATTGAGTTGAATGTGATTTTTATATAAATTGCTAAATATTTTTTTATTATCTGGATTTGGTGCACCAAGGAGTGTTTCAAGCTTTCAATGCCTTCTACATCCACTAGTAAAGTAGACATTCTGGTAGAGTGGAATGTGCACTGGTTGTCAATGCCTACTGTAAAGTTCTGGGTTCGAATCCTGGTAGGGGCAAAATTCTTTTTGAATGTTTGAATGGAAGCATCAAATTTCAGATATACAAATTAGTAAAAACTTTCCCTTATTCTCTTTTGTTTTAATATAAAAATTTTTTGCAGGTGGTGTTTTGACTGAAAAGGTAGAATTACAACAAAACGCTGTAAAGAAATCGAAGATACTAAGTAAAAATAAGCTTACCGGTAATTTTTATTTTTATTTTTATATAAGTATTTTTGTCTATTAAAATTATTTGATAATTTTATTTACTTAACTTTAAAAAAAATATATCAGAAATATGTTATCTATATTTTAAAGAGCACCTATCCTAATCATCTTTATTCTTTTGTTAACTTTTTTCTTAAACTTACCTGTATGGGCTTTAGTCATGTTTTAGTTAATAAGTAGACATTACATAATGAAATGAACCTTCCACTTAGTTTTCTTATACTAATAATTAGTTAAAAAAAATTAAAGACTTCTCACCTCACAATGATACTAATTTTATTGAAATGCTTTTTTTCAGCATCTGCAATGGATCAAAGTGTAACTAAACTTCAAAAAAGTGGTGAAGAAGCTAACTGAAAAGAATCTCAAATATACAACACGGCTAAAGAAAGCAATGAAACTTTTATGATAGATCCGACTTGTAGATTTTTTATATATAACTTGGTGTGGTGAGGTAAATAAATTATTAAACGGCACCATAAAGGTGCGTAATAGTACAAATTTTAAAGACGATATTAAAAGAATGGCATGCAAATATTTAAAAATATAAATAAAAATAATTGATTTATAAAACTTCTTTATTTATTCTAACCGACTGTGTTAAAGTTACATTATTAGACAATTATCAAAAAAAACTGTGTAAACGAATAGTAGATAAATTATCTAATAATGTAGCTTTAACACAGTATGGTTTTTTCCTTTTTTCATATTAATAATCGCATCTAAAGCTGCCGGTACCAGTTCAGTAGTTCATGACTTGTGATTATGTCATGAATCGATAGATGGCGCTGTATGCTCAGGTTAACTGGTATCTCTATTACTAGTATATAATGTACTCTATGGGCGGGATCCGCGTCACTGCATTACCGACCCGAGCGAAACAGCACGTTAAGTTTCAACGGCAGCGCGAACGAGACGGCGAGATCCGCGTCACTGCATTACCGATCAATCACGGGAATAGTACTCGACGTCGACGTCACTACCGAATAAGATTCAAAACAAACAGCAATTTTTATGAAAAAATATATTTTATAGTACTTACGAATGAAAAGTGATGCCATGGGTTCTATTTTTAGTTCTTGAGCAATTTCAGCACTTTTTAAAAACATACTTGGGCATTGTTTTATCATTTAAACACAAAATATTGGCAATATTTCTTTATGACGTTTGCATGTCAAGTTGTGACTAAAGCGATTAGGGTCGTGGACCACAATTTGTGCGGATCACTTTTGTGAGGCTATCTACCCTTTTTGTTTTAATCTAAGGTCACTACATGAATCATAGCCGCATGGTTCATATAGTGACAGTCAAATCTACTCGAAAAGAGTTTCAGGATTGTGTTAGGGCTGCTCCGTACCCTGCTGACGAGAGAAGTGCATCGCTTACCCATGATTGTATAAAAACAATCCACACGGTATTGTGCAAACATAGCTGAAGCGCTGCAGAATCGAGGCAGCCCCAACAATACCCTCAGAGCATTATTATATTGAACCCGCAAGGCGCTGTACTGTTTCTTTGTGTAGTTGTTCCACAGACTGCAGGTGTAAAAAGATGTACAAAAAGCTCTTAACAGTGTAATTTTAACATCACCTGAACAGCGAGCAAATCTGTGTGCAATCATGTTTGCCCTAACAGACAGCGCCCTGCGCTCCCTTTCTATATCTGTATCGTCCTTCAAGTCGGCGGTAACCCAATGGCCCAAATATTTGAAACGATCAACCACTTGAAGTGACAAGCCGTTTAGTTTAATAGCATGGCACATAGTCCAGGCGCCCACCACCGGCCCGAAAAACCATACATTCACTCTTTTTCGAGTTATACAACAAACCATGACTAAGTGCGTAACGCTCACAGATAGACAGCAACTTATTCAAACCACATACTGAAGCGCTCAGCAGCACCATGTCATCCGCATAACTAATATTATTGAGACAAACGTCATCAATATGGCATCCTACATGCGTGCTGCTAAGCTACTCCAGAAGGGCATTCACATACAAGTTCAAGAGCTTGGGAGAGGTCAGCCCTCCCTGCCTCAGCCCGCACTCTAGCCTATATGGATCCGAATATGCTTTAGACCAGCGGACCACATTGACCTGATTTTCGTACCAGTATTTGAACAGACTAACAAGATCAGTCGGCATAAAAGTACTGTTTAATTTATGCCACAGGATATCGTAAGAAACCAGGTCAAATGTCCAGGAAGCAAGCAAATACTCTGCAATGCAAATAATCTGTATAGTATCTGACGGTTTGCTTTAAACATAGAATTGCTGTCTCTGTTGATAGTCCAGACTTAAAACCAAAATGATTATCGTGAATATTTAAGTATTTATCTAACTCAGAATTAAGCAAACCGTCAAGTACCTTAGCCACCACTGTAACCAAGGAGATGGGTCTGTAGTTGTTCCTGTCACCAATGTCGCCAGTTCTGCATTTCAGTATTGGCACCACCACAGTCTTCATCATTTCAGCAGGTAAATATGAGTGACTAACACAAAAAGTATAAAACATTGCTAGAACTCTAGAAAGATGGGGTCCAGCATGCTTGAGGTGCTCAATACTCAGATTGTCGTGCCCAGGTGACTTTCCTTTTAAGATAGTCATCTACGGCGTTCTTCGGCAAAACAGAGAAAAACCTGGAGGTGCGGTACCTATGGGTGGAACGAAAGCATATACCTCTCAAACAGCCTCATGTAAGGCTTAGATTAAAAAAAAAGTTGTAAGGATGTTAGTTCGCCGTTCGGGAGATATTCATTTCTCAGTACTCAATAATATTTCAATCACAGATTACTATGATTATGTCTGACCACAGACATATAATACTACTAGTTATATGTCTGTGTGTCTGACAAACAACGTAACAACATTGTATAAAATATCACTAAACTGTTTTACACAGTCTTGCAGTTAAACCAAGCTATGAAATAATCATAAATATCTTTCGTTTGCGTTCAGTCGTGTAGCAAAAACTTTTATTTTAAATTCTAAACATTTTGGAGTAGGTAGGATATATGAAGGGTATATGAAGATGATAATGAACATAAGCGTCTCAGTAAAAGTTTGAGTTTCTGATGGAAATTTATCCCCTAAAACTAAGATGTTAGAGAAATGTAAAAAATGGTAAAAGTTTTTATTGTTACTATATATACGTAGACTAGACCCCGGCCTATCATGGGCCAATCCCACCACAGGATCAGGGCCTGCAGCGTCCAACGAACAGCACAGCGCTGCCGGACGGAATATGCGCTATAGTGTGACTGTGGACTAGTGTACGTATGTTTCGTAAGGAACAATGTATGCTTTCCAATTACAGAGCATAATGCGACTCAGTGCCGCACAATGCCCAATTATGCTGATGCTTAATTAGAACGTGAATTAGTTTTCAAATGGACCAGCAGAGTGCGCTAAGTTCAGTGTTGAAAAAAAAAGTCAATGTTTGTACCTTCAACCATACTTATATTTATTTTTTAACAGTTTGAATAATAATATAATAAAATAATAAAAATTTTATTTTCACAATTAGTACAAAAATAATAACTTAAAAGTACAATTTTAGCTTAGGTATAACAAAACATGCGCCTGAACTAAGAAAATCCTGTGTTTCAGGCGGAAACGGGCGATTAATTTCCATTAAAATGAATGAACTTTGATTATTTAAAAAAAAACTATTTAATGTAAAGAAGGCTTTAATAATTTTTCAACAATAAATAATATTACTCACGTTAACATATAAATAAAAGATTTCGATCAATGCCAACTTAAAGAAAAAACACTTGTTAATTTTCTTTCTCTAAGTTGGTACCATTGCACGCATCACACGAAGGCATCATTTTTGAGAGTGCTCAATTGTGCGAAGCGAGCGAAAGCAACCAATATAACAATTTTGTGTTAAATAAGTGTAGTTATGTGTCTATTGGAATTACTGTTGGAATTAAATTAAAAATAAAAAAATGTTTAGTTATAAAAAAAAGTAAAATGTTTTAGTTCACAGAAGTTAATCAGGTAAGCCAACTCAATACATATCATGCCAATACTGTTTAGAAAGTAGAAACATTAGAATGCGCATACTCTTTTATCTATAAAAATCCATAAAGAGAAAAATACGATAGATAAAGCTGTATGAACGTAGTATTCTTTCTCCACCAAAAGCGAAATGTAAATAAAAAATATTAACGTCAGGTTCCGGTTCCGAATTTTACCAATAATTTTAAATGAACACGAATTTTTCTTTTTCACGTCAGTGTTTTTCGCAATGCAGAATCATTAATTTGATTCACTAAAATGCCATTAATAAGATAGAATAGTAATTATGATAAATTTATACTAAACATACTCTCTTGAGCTCCATACTTAGTGATCTAAGGTTCATTAAAAAAGATGTAAATATATTTTTGCAAGTGATTTAATTTTTAAATATTTACCAAATGATAAAATTATCATTTAAAATGATATAGTCATATAAACAATGAAATATTGATTAAATAAAAGACAACCGTACGCTTAAATTATGATATAGGTAGGATTCGGAACAAATGCAGAACCATCAACCATGTGCTTGACATTGACATTTCACAATCTGTCTGAGTCTGACATGGACCTTGTTATTTTCATTTGCGAAAAGGACGAATCTTTACATAATTAATGGCCTTTAAACCTGTGTAGAATTAAATCAAAAAGGGCAAAATGTTCCGACTTTACCTACAGAGCACATGCTCGCAATCGAGGTATGCATTTAAAAGTATCGTTCAAAAGCAACTATCATCAAAATTAAAATGTATGGCTATTTGCCAAAACCAACTCTTCCGAAGATATTCCAGCGGTACACAAGAGGAGGAACAATTGGAACAAGTTTATTATGGTCCTCTGACGCCTCAAATTAAAGCTGTCAAAATATTTTCATTAACATCAAGTGTTGCTGGTCTAATGGCACAACCTATTATTGTAAAGCAGGCTTCAACTATAGGGAGCACATCACTCCTTGTAGTCATTTGTTCAATGGTTGGATTCTTCACTTTCATCACACCACTGCTATTGCATTTTATTACTAAAAAGTATGTTACAGAAATGCATTATGATCCGAAAAAAGGCACATACAAGGCTACTACAATTAACTTCTTCCTGACAGAAAAAGAGGTAAACATATTTTTAAACTATTTATTAAGGCAATATTTTAATATTGTATAATTTTAATGGTATTTTATTGACTATTACAGCTGGAATTCAATTGTGATGATGTGAGTGTGCCTGATATTCCCGGGATGTTCACAACCTTCCATGCTAAAGGCAAACCTCTGTTTGTTGAAGCAAGACATTTCAATAATCCTCTACATTATGCTAAACTCATGGGCTATGATAAACCTATGGATTTCAAGTTGGGAGAAATAGAAGATTCTGAAAACAACCAAAAATAGCTGATAGGTAATTGATTAATGTAACTGTTATGTAGTAATAAAGTATTGATTTATTATAAATCTGTATTTTAAGTCACACCTTATTTGTGTGCTTGGAACTGTCATCAGCAAGCATGAACTTACTAATAAGTTCATGTTTAGTTAATTTTGACATTATCTATCTTCCTTAGATCTAGAATCCAAACTTCTTGTAAAAGTTATAATATGGCAGTTATATAATGTGGTTGTTATGATACCATTGGCATATTTCTTTTATAAAAAGCATTCTATTGTTGCAATATTTAATTATATTTAGATCAAAAGGTATTTATATATATACAATATTGATAAACCAGGATATACTTAAACACCTGTTTCTTGAGTCTAGATGGATTAGGGTATACATACATTTAAAAAATCATATTGAAATAGGCATCCAAAGTTTGCTATTTATTCAAACGATTTTAAATTAGAGAGTTGATAATTTAATAAATAGAGTCAATAAAAGAAAAAAATGAAGCTTAATGGTTTTTATTAGGTATGCTTTAGTAACATTTCCAATATTGGATTACTTACACAATCATTGCACATTAGTATAGGTAGCAGCAAACTTCTTGAGCAAAACCACAAACAAAAAAATAGAGCAGTAAACATATTTGTGTGTAAAATAGCTACAGAGCAGGCTTCCTTATTTATGGTTGTTGCTCAAAAAGTTTGCCAGTGTTTATGTAGTAACATTTGACTAGACAGTGTTACTGCCATCTAGAACTTTATCAAAAATACATCTCACTATTCAAGTCAGCACGGTAGGTAACAAACATTCTTATTATAATTATTTTTATTAAATGATATAATCACAATCGTTTTTTCTAAAAGGATAAATGCTCCAATATGATATTTATTAAAGGAATGTATGAAACAAGTTCTGAAACAATAGCAAGAAATCTTAAGTGTTATAATTAATCAATAAATTAGTTGATGATAAACCATTTTACAGAATTCTTACAAGAAAATAAAAGCATTTACAGAGTTAAGTAAATATGTTTCTAGCTTAGAATAATAAATATATTTTCTTTGAAAATTTGATTTTTATCAAATAGATTTGAACTTCTATCAAATAGAAGCTATAATAAAAAAAACTATATAATTTAATGTATATAAATAATATATCAGCACCTGTTAGTTTAGCCAACTACCCATGTATCTTTCCATATTTTTACAACATACAACAAAAAAAACATTTTAATCTGAATTTCATTGATATCTAAATAAATATTCTTGTCTCCATTCATAATTATAAATAGTTTTAATGCAGAATGTCATTTTATTTTTTACACAACTACTCAAATATGTAATGTTTTTAATTACAATCTCTAATTCACATTAGCAATAATATGTACACAAATAACATTTTATTTAGTTTTTTAACAAACACTGAAAAATATCTATAATTATATAAAGTAACTCTTCTTTTTAACATGACACTAAAAAGCCTTGAATTCTGAAACTTCAATCAATTTGAATAGTAAAATCAAGTGTATATTCAAATATCTCATTTGTACATTTAATATACTTCTCATTGCAATAATTTTAATCAATTTATTACATTGTTTTCCTTAAAATACTTTATGTACAATTAAGAGTATCACTCCAACGTAATAATCCAAACTTATTATTATTAATTTTTTAATTGGCAACTGCAGTCAAAATGTTCATTTGTCTTCATTAGTTATCTACTTTTTAATGTCACTAATGCATTAAAATCCCTTTTTTCCCCTAATTTTAATCAGTAAAAACATTGTCTAAAAAAAAAAATAACAAATATGTACATACCTAGCGTTGAAAAAGCCTATTCTAGTATTTATAGTTGATTCGCCAAAATAAATAAATGAATACATAGTTTTTATTATTGATAAAAAATTTACATTTATAAGGCTTACTTCTTGTGCATGTAGCAGTATGTAATTAGAAATTACACATTAAATATTCTGCTAATAAATATTGAAAAGTTATGTAAAAAAAAATATTCGAATTTAATACAAAAAAACGACTGCTTACCGATTTTTTAATACTCATAGAAGCATTATCAAGCATCCAATACAAATCAAAGTATAATATTTTAAGAATCGTCATTACCTTATCAATAATATTTATCTTCATATGCATGCAACTCTCGGTCCAGATGCCTTTTCATTAATGGCACCAAGATTATTTAATTCATAAAATATAATCATCAAAATGGGCACATACATCATACCTCTCTAGTATCTGAAATTTATACTTAAATATCCAATGCCATGCCGTTAAAGTTGTCTTTAAAAAGCTTGTTTGTTAAAAAAGATACCAATACAAAAGAGTTCCTGGAACGTTTCGAATTCCGAAAATGGACTGCAAAAAAATTTTAGAAGCTGACGACCTTTATGACTCTTTTTAAATCAAGAAACACAATCACTTCTTGAATTCAGTCTGAAACATATCTCAAAATAGGTTTTAAACCGCCGCTCGAAGTTCAGTCGTAATGTAAGGCGTTGTCTGCAAGGGAATGCGCGGCGGGGTTGATTTTATCGTCTATAGCTTCTAAGGCAGCAGCTCGAGCTCTTTGCCGGCCCTTCCATTCTACACGGCAGAAGGCCCCGGTACCTAATGACGCCAATATGCCTAAGATAATCAGCTGCACTGATAAATTAGCCTTTGAAGAGTAGAAGAAACACGCCGCCGCTGCTATTGACTGAAAAAAAAAACAGAACACTTATTACTAGAACTACCAAAAATCGTTTCACATCCATGAGGGTTGAATAGATAGGTAAGGTAGTCATCTTGCACCTCGTATCGGATCCGGGCCGGATTAAAGGCGTTTTAGGTCCCAACGTAATTTCTCAACGTGAGCGCACAGTTTGATACCATGTTTTAAGTTAAAAATTGAAATAAACTTTTCATTTTATATTTTTAAAGTTTTTATTGATGAATTCACTACTTTAATTAATTATTAATAAGTTGATAAATGTTCTACTACTTGAAAAGGGGCAAAAGTTAGTGTAAAATAAAATATTTAATTTAAAAATAAGGATATCTTAATTTTTTTTTCTATGGAGTGAAGTATTCACTGTATAATTTCACTAGTTAAGAGGCTCAGCAATATCCTATATATTTTAAACTCAGTAACAAGAACTTTCATAAAAAAACTTAAAACTTCTATAGAACCGGTAACGCCTTAAGGCAGGGCAGGCGTGGCTGTAGCTGCCCCAACAACAGAGAAAACTTAGTGGCATATCTGTGAAAATTTACTGTCTTGCCATAACGGTTCATAAGATACAGCCTGTTGACAGACGGACAGTGGAGTCTTAGTAATAGGGCCCCGTTTTTACCCTTTTGGTAAAAATTACTAAATTTCGAAGGGACACCAACAAGAAGGGGGAGGTGTTCCAGATTTTAAAATAGGGTCCTCTGCTCCTTCGTTGCCCCAGGGTTTCTACACCTCTAAAACCGGCCCTGCATCAGATTAACACGTTACAAATCACATCCCGTATATACATTTAGGTATAGTATTATTGATTCTCGGCTTTAAACAAGATAAAGTACTCGCTTTATAAATATATTTATATAATGAAATTTTATCATGAAAAAAAACCTTGTGGTAGGTAATTTCGTTTCTTAAAGACGCCAGATAATGCCATCTGATGTCGTTAAAATACCATACATATGAGCTTAAAATTACTTCATTAAGACTCGCACACAGATTTATCAGTCGGTCGCCCATTATGTGTCGACATACATAAGTAGACACACCTACTTCTTTCAACTACTGGAGCAAGTCAATTAAACGTAATAAGTAGTAATTCTTATAATAAACAATTCAATTAACCTACTTTAAATAAGTGTCCGACAAACATCTAGACGGAAAACTAAAGGAAGAATGCACTTTAGGCCATTCTTATCAGCTGGGCTGTTATGTTTCTGGATAATTATAGACAATATTTATTACATTATGTTATTGAGGTTAAAGAAGTATTATAATTTTTAACCTCGTGTAAATGTTATCATCACGTAATAAATATTGACTTATTTAATCTCAATGTTTATCTGCACAGATTCATGACGTTTCAAATAAATTACGAATATAACATAAATTTAATAAAGGACGAAGCAAATTACCCTAAATTAAGTCTAAAAGGAGTCCAGCACTAAAGCAGGCCTAAACCCAATCCACTACCCCGTGGGTCTCTGGACCTTTATCAAAACATACACAGCACCACCAAAATTGATATTTTAGTGTGGCCTTCTCTAAGGTGGGGGTTACTTCACCAGATTGAGAGTAATAAATGTCCGATATAGCTCTGGTCCTATAGTAAGTAGCTAAAGTACGAAAACTCATCTTTATGTATCGTACTTTTACGAGAACCCACATCGAAAAACAAAACTTAGATAAGTAGTTGTTCCCTGACATCCACAGTTAGGTACCTAAACCTAAATATGTACCTTCTAAAATGTGACCACTAAAAAATTCATTGTTGCTGTGACAGGTTGTATCAGTTCCAATTGTTGATAGAATCGAAGTTTATTTTCGGACACCATTTCTTTATAGACTCAAAGTGTACCTCTCTCTGTTAACTTAAGCTACCAAAACTACCTGTCAGGATCGCATTCCCTCGATACCAACATTTTCTTCAACTCACCTGAGTGAATTTGAACAGTGCGAAAGCTGACGTGCTGTTATCGGAGTAATTCCCTCCCAATATAGAGTAGATCTGCGTATTGTAGCACGCGTCCCCGAAGCCCAGTAGGAAGCTGCAGAACATCGCCAGGTACTGGGACGGATTGATGTATGAGACGTCGCTGGTATCTCCGAAGGGGGCAGTAGTCGGTAAGTTTATGAAGATCAGGAAGAAGCAGCACAGGTGGATCAAGTAGCCCATGATCACGATCGGGTCGCGGCCCCAACGAGTCGTCTTGTTTCCGAGTATGCCGAACAAAGCTCCACCTGATGATAAAAAAAGGTATTTTTTATCATTTTATGTTTTCATCACTGGGGCACAGCTTTTGCATATGGACGAAATAGAGCCCGATGCAGTACCTTTGGTGGCTGCAAAAATGGTGCTAAGCATGTAGAGAGAAGCTCCGGATAATATATTTATTTACGTAACCGATGAAAGCGAAAATTGCATCCACAATCGCGAATCGAAAGCAATACGCCGTCGAACCATTCCGCCTTGTTCCAAAACCGGACTAAAGTTGTCATAGTTACATAGACAAATCTAATGCTGTTCTCTGTCTTCTTTTTAGCAAACAAAAGTGAGAGTATCAGTTTTAAACCAGGTTTATCTTTTAGTCAACATTTTGTAATAAGGCGGATTGAGTTTAATAAGTTTCTATGTTACAAAGATGTTAAATTTATATCTACATTATTCGTTGTTTGTTTTTTAACACCAGATACCACGTGATAGACATGTAACGACTCGACTTTTCAAACCGGTTCAAACCGGTTTGAGCATGGACCGAGTTGAATCGGTTAACGTCTTCGTAAACCGGTTCTACCGTGGCATTCGTTCGTATCGAGCTGCGCGCATACGCGCCTGTCAATTCTTGTTTATACCGCCATCCACAAATCGCGTGCGGCTCCTGACGTGCTTTACCGACCCTAATAAAACTTGACCGACCAATACGAACCGACTTACAGCAGCGGATACGGTTAGCGTGCATCGTCAATTTAAATACAACAGCCATAACCGACTTACCGACCGCACCGAAATGAAACGGACTCTGGTAGATTTGACTGACTTGACGGTGTAATTTTGTTTTCATTATTATGTAATATGCGACGTAATTGCCCAGCTTCTAAAAAAATAGACCAAATATTATTCCTAAATAGTTGTAAGAAATTTTTTAATTAAGTTGTTTGTACCAAATTAAGTTTCTACGACTCAAATGATTTTACAAAAATAAGTTACGTATTTATTATATTATTGATTATTAAAATTGTATTTTATTCTCAAAGTTAAGAAGTACGGTTTTATGTAATTAATAGAGTTCATATATTTTTTTTGTATTTTTTTAAACACGGTATTACATAGATATTTGTTTATTTTTATTTTGACATTTTTAATTCTGATTATTATTATTTGTTTTCATATTTTATTTGTTATTTTTCAATTACCTTTAAATATTTGCACGATGTAATTCAACAAAATATTGTAGAATTAAAAAACTTACATGTGTAAGCTTATAAAGTACCTAGTAAGATTTACCTACATTGTAGGTAATTTCCTTACCCGACTGCGCCATGACTTACAAATAAATATAACTTGTATGTTTAAAATAATATTCTTTTATTGAATTATGTAAGAATTAAAATCAGCAGTCGGGTTTATTACAAGCTTTTAATTAACTTGCAATATAGGTAGGTATATAACTTTGTTTATTCGGGTTTTTGTTTTGTTATAGGTCCATACGAGCAGACGGCTCACCTGATGGTAAGTGATCACCGTCGCCCATGGACACTTGCAACACCAGGAGTATCACAAATGCGAATAATAATAATAATTCGGGTGGAATCTTGAAACTCAATTTTGAAGAAGATATCTTCAACCGGTTGAGCTGAAATTTTGTATATACACGTTTTGATTAAAAAGCACGGTTAGCTGTGTGACGTCATTCTAAATCCAACATGGCGGAATAGTTATTTTTAATGCATTCCTACGATATGGGTATATTGGGCTTGCGGAGAATCTTTCCATATAAAATAAAATATTTACAATCACAAAACTAGAAAGAAACTCAATTATGTAGATGAAATTAAAATACTGTGGGCGGGCGGCCCTACCGCGTGCTAACGCAGCGCTCGGCCGTAGGCATTTATTTCAAGGACAGGGCGGAGTCACAATACTGTATAGATAATATTACCGTGGCTCAGTTGATAACCATGTGGCAGTTGATTTTTCGAATTTCTTATCAAATCTTCGGACATTTATTAATCTGATTGGTCTTTCTATGGCTATGTTAATTCAAGCTCACAATATTCTAATTCGTTTTTCTAAGATCTAAAGTAAACTTTAATAAATTGCAATAGTCTAATACGTAATTGCAAGACTTGCAAGACTCTTGCTGCAAGACCAAGACCAAGACCAAGACTGGGAGCGCAAGACCAAGACCAAGACTGGCTACGTCTCGTCTTGTTCTTGCATTTGGGCAGCACTAACTCTATCCCACTTATTAATAAACAAAGAAGCTTGGATTAGTTACTCCATGTTTTTTCTCTGTTCATTAATTTCCAAATAGCAACTAATCTTAAGCTTATTCCTCGTTGATTAATAAGGGGATATCAGTTTATTATATAATCTTAAGTTCGACAGCAACCTATGCAGAGCTCATAATATGGAAAGTAACTAAGTAATGAGACCTTTGGTATGAGTACATTAAAAACATAAATCGGGCACGAATACTTAATGCCCCTATCACAAATTGAACCCATACCCTTTTGGAGCCTCTATTGCACAAACCAGTCGTCGAAATAGTTTATGATTTCAAGTTGCAATTCAAGAAATTCACTGCTTCTTCGGAGGTAATCTATACTTATTCTTCCTCTACGCAGCTCCTTCAACCTTAAACCTGTTTATGTACCATAAATTACCTATTGAAGATAAAATGCTTATCAGAATTGCGTTACAAAGTAGGCATTATCGTTATTCCAAACTTTAAAGTAATCCGAGCAGGCTATCTTTGGCATTTCTACCTACTTAGCTTATGCAGTCAATAATAATTTTAACTACACTAGGGCGCCATTAACGCTGCCATTCTTGTCAAAATTACAAGTGTCCGCCGCCCGCACCTCTCACGGTCCCCGTTCTGGTCCTCCCTCACACCCTGTACCCAGCAGGCGAGGCTTTTTAGGCAAATTTTAGGGCCTTGATGATTACATTCCAACAACAATATAGGTATTTTCTATTTAATATTATGTACTATACATAAAATTAATAATAGTAAGCAACATTTTTAGAACTAAAAAGTTTAAAATCATTAAAACCGACGGCGAATTAAAAAGTACAATACAAGTAAAAAAAAAAATTACAGACAAAAAGTTCCGCAAAGGAAAAAGCTTGGACAAGTTAGGCAGTTTATACATATTTTTTTTTTAGAATTTAACTGAAGGATTTATAAATCTAAAGAAATTTAGCAGTTAAATGCTTAAAAAATATATACAGGGGTTTGTCCCACGGGTTTGCCACATGGAGGGAAAGTATATTAAATATTGAACATAGGATATTTTTATACACTGAAAGAAGACATCATTTTATTTTTAATAACAACAAGAACAACATTCACGGATTTTTTTAAATCACCTACTACAACTGGGAATCAAACTTTTGAATCCCGTCTAACCAAATGGATTTTTTCCAGTAATATTTTCTTTAGATTTAGTTAGGTAGTGTTTTGATCCTGTTCATGGAATTACCTACTAAAATTTCACTTAAGTGATATGATCAGACTATAGTCCGGCCGCTCAGAGATTGCGTTTCTGACAGGTCGTGCCATTTCCTTATGGCGACAGAATAAAGTAAACTTTAGATCCAATAAAAAAAGAGGTTCGAAAATTAACTCTAATGCTATCACCATGAGGAACTGACACAACCTATCAGAAACGCAATCTGAGCGGCCGGACTATAGGTAGGCATAAGACTATTAAAAAACCGGCCAAGTGCGAGTCGGACTCGCGCACCGAGGGTTCCGTACAAACTCAATTTAATACCTCTACGCGTTCATGAGAGAAGAGGTAGTAACTTTAAAATTTTCAAAAATATTTTTATTTCATGATGTAACTAAAAATTTAGGGTTTTCGCAATTTTTCCTTTATCTGTACTATAAGACGTTACTTCGTACCAAATTTCAAGATTCTAAGTTCATGGGAAGTACCCTGTAGGTTTTGATTCCCGTGCGAGTCGAGTTTCGAAAATTTGCGGCATAAACGGCTGTATCTTTTGATTGCTTTGGCTTAGAAGTTTGATATTTTCGCAGCTCTAAGGGACAGTAGACACGAGTATTAGATATGAATTTCAGTTTGATACCTCCACGCGTTCCTGAGAAAAACGGTCTTGACAGACGGACGGACAACAAAAATATTCCTATAAGGGTTCCGTTTTTTCCTTTGAGGTACGGAACCCTAAAAAATCCGCTTTTTTGTAAAAAGTATTGCCAATGGATCTCATTATGAGATATGGAAACCAAAAACTTCGATCCCTAGGATTAACTGCCAATTACTCAAGTGCAAGATATTATTAGAATTGATAACGGAAACTAGGTTAGGAGTATGAAGGTCGAAAATGCGTCATTTCTTTAAACTTTAAACGAATGATTTTACTATTGATAAATAAAAACATGATAACGCAAAAGGTCAATGTTACTTTACCAATAGGTCTTATCAATGTTAGATCGGGAATTTTAAACTTTAAAAGGCAAAGCAGAAATAAAATATTTTAGTAGAAAATAAGTAAGATTTTACAATATATTTTTCACTAGGGAAATAGAGTTAATATGTCCGTGGTCTGCTGTAGTTTAGTTCATTCTAAGCATTTAGCAAATAAGTTCAATTAAACTACCAATAAGGGGTCATCCATGAAGTGGGTACGTCACACTAATTTCGTGATTTTTTACCCCTCCTCTGTCGTTTTCACAGTGGGTCACATTTGTGTGTCCCCCCTCCCCTCCCTAGTGTGACGTCACCTATTTTGCATCAAGAAATTATTAAATGAAAAGAACAGTTCCGAAAATAAAAACAAAAAATCAAAACGAAAAAGACGATCAAAAAATTATTAAAACCCATACACAGTTCTACATATTTTAAAGTTCAAAAGTATGACATTCTGAAATGTGACGTCACAAAACTTGAACCGCTTCCACCCTTTGACAAACAATGACACACTTTGTCGACCCGCTCTCTCCCCCTTAACGTTTGACCTACCCCTTATTCCCCTAAAAGGATTTTTATTATTAATCTTAAAATATTTAAGTCAGTTTTCCCTGAAATCTCTGATATTCTGAAAATGGTTCATGACTCCAAAAAGTTAAAAAGTCACAGCGTTACGAGGACTTATTTCAACAATAAAAAAATATTCATTCATAATACATATTTGAAATCCCAACATTTGATAATTGAATAAGCATTCATATGCATTAAGCAATATCTGTAGTGAGTACTTAAATAATTATAATCCACTCGTCCCTGATCAAACACTTACGATGTGATCCACATTATTGTTCGCCTAAGTCACTCGAGTGTGATAGATACTACGATTATAATTATCGACTAACATGAAATAATCAATAATAAGGTCGTCGATAAAATCGTAGCAAGTAAGTACTGTAATCGACGTTGCATCGCTCATCTTTTAATGCTATTATCTTGCGACAAAGTAAGGAAAAATATCGATAACATTATTTTATTATGGATTTGAATAATATAGGTAAGTATCAAAATAGGTAGAAAATAGTCAAAATTGCTATTTGAAAAACTCAAAACTATAGGTAACATTTGTTATGAGTTTTCAGGTACTTTATTAGGTTCTTCCCCTAGTCAAAAAATCACTTCAGAGACCTTCACATTTTTTGCAAACAATCGCAATTTTTGAGCGTCTCGTTTACCCCCTTAGAAAAGATTTTGACTATTTCCAATAAAAGTAAACTGTAGATTTATTCTTCCTATTGTAAGTTAATGTAGAATAATTGCAAGTACTATTTTCTTTTTTATGTACTGATCGTTCTATTGCAGCTAGTTTACGGAAAAAACGATAATATGCACAACTTCAAACGCCTCAATCTCTCAATAATAGTCAATAAATTAGATCAAGTTAATTACTACGACATCAGAATTATGTTTTTTGTTGTAACATAAGGTATTATAATTTTGATTTTTCATCTCTTAATTATCAAAAAAAAAACATCTAACCTCCGTGAGTTTTCCCAAAAAATAATGCAGGTTTACCTCGTATTTTTATATTAAATTAAATAGAATTACTTTCAAAAACTTTCATAAAATTAATCTACCATTATTGAACTACTGACATATGTATATATATTTATAATTAGTTCATTAATAATTATTTTATGAGACTCGAAACATCACCCGTAAAATGCAATATACACTAGTGCAAATCTAGCTACGCGCCGATCAGTACGGCAACGGCGCAATTTTGTAAAAGGGCTCTTATTGATTTCTCTATAAATACCTACAAAAGATGTAGCTGCTCAATACAACTCCATTTTGTTTGTAATGTGTAAAACACGAAAAGATGTACCAACACAAGATAGAAAATTCAACTATATGTACACCGTCAAAAATAAAAAAATAATTAAACTAAACTTATTATTATTTTACATACGATCAATAAATTTAAATAATTTTCCAATGACAAGACAGAACAATAAAAAACGTCGATATTTAATAAAAACATGAGCAACATCTCAGTTTTATCCCAGATAGCCTGGAAGGATTCAAAACTTTTATAATGATGTAAGACCTCTTATACACGCGTAGTATTCAGATATAAATATAATATGTAAAATTCTCGTGTCACGGTGTGCGTAATTGAACTACTCCGAAACGGCTCGACCGATTTTCGTGAAATTTTATATGCATATTCAGTAGGTAATCGGAAAACATTTATTTTTCATCCTCCTAAATGTTAAGGTGGTCCACCAAAAAATTTTTTTTTGGACAAAATTTTTGTTTTTATTTTTTTCTGATACCTACATCTAACTAAAATACATACAACCCTAAATTTTCACCCTTCTACCACCAACCCCAATTTTTTGATAGCGATACGAAGTTCGCTGGGACTGCTAGTGAGTTGTTATAAATGGTTTAAATAACTCACCGAGCACTTCTCCGACGCCGATGAACACACCCGATAGACCGACCAGCTGTTTAGCATTTTCCCCCATCGCCAATGTGAAGCCGATACTGGGGCTGTAAACACCACTCAGGAATGACAGCTCCACACCTTAAACAAACACAAACCAAATAAATAAAACCAATGCGCCTAACTATTTGGAACTTATTAGAAATAAGGAACGTATTCTTATTAGAAATTATCGACACTGTTCGATAGTTGAGGAGCTCGATGGCGCAAGTGGTTTCGCGCGTTCGAATGCGATAGTTGAAGTTAAGCAACTTTCGCAATGGTCGGCCATTGGATGGCTGACCAAAAATTTACTATCTCGAGCTCCTCCGTGCTTCGGAAGGCACGTTAAGCCGTTGGTCTTGGCTTTAACTGCAGTCGTTAGCACCCACCAATCCGCATTGGGCCCGCGCGGTGCGTAATGGTCAAATATCTCTATTAAATCCATAGGAAAGGCCTGTGCCACAGGACTGGGGACATTAATAGGCTGATGATGGTGATGATAAAACGCTCAAGTATAAAGTAGATTTTATCTCAAGGTCGGAGCGGGTACACTTTGTATCAAACCGGGAAAAGGTAGGTATTTTTACACAACACAAAATCGCTATTTACTTAATTATGTATAGTTGAAATGTGAATCACAAAGTTCGTTCATAGTTTAAACTTTCCACTGTGTCACAATCACAATGTAAAGGCTTAAGCTTTTTCTCGATGTGGGACAATGTTTCTTCTTAAAAATGTAAGCATACGGAATCTTAAAATGAAAGCAATAATCGTCTATATGAAGAATAACAGATATTCGTTGGAGAACGTCAGTAAATTTTTTCTCACATCTCCTTTCGAGAAAATAGTTGCCTTAACCCCTTTGATTACAACCATTAAGAAAACCTAGTCAGTTTTATCATTCTCTTTTACGTTAAACGCGACATAGGCTATGTTCACATCACAGAACACAGAACGATGTTAGACGGGTCTTGTGAGCGTGACAGGCGCGCCACAGTTACGTGTGAGCTCAAAACTTGGTTCTGATTGCGTCGTTGCTCTCGGGTGTGAGCACTGATTGGTTCGATTGTTTGATGTTGCGTCATTTGATTGACTATTATCTATTAGGTGGAAGTGTAGCGGGGACGAGCAAGCGACATCGGTTCCCGTACAAGCGATCCCTGATGATCACCCTTCTTACCTTTTTCTGTGTTCTATCGTTCACATCATACAAAGAAAGGCAGAAACTAAGCGAAATATTAAAGTGCAATGCCGCGTGCACAGAGGTTACTTAGTATAACTGGCGGCACTAAAAAATTAATAAAAAAATGTTGTGATTTATTGAAACCCTTGCATCGACAGTGAAATTCAGTAATATTAAAAAAGTCTCTGCACCACAGTGCCTGTTGATAAGATCTGTTTTTTTTAATAAAATCTAAAAATGTAATTCGACATGCTAAAGATAGATAAAAATAATTGTGGCGATGTAATAAAAAAATCACTTTAATAACGTACAAGACATTCTAACTCTCTTGCACATTCCTGCCAAGAAGAATGTGCTATGGATGCTAACAAACAAATCACTAGGACAGAAATACAAAGGTTGATCTATAGTTACATATACCTTTTCTACGCAACTTTATAAGGGCACTCAAGCTAAATTCAAACATAAGTAGGCACTCCATAGAAATAAGTTAACCTTGAGACCGGATCAATTGCATAGAATAAAAGTTAAAGAATTTTAATATACTAATGGAGACGCCAATATAAATGTTACGTTATTAAACGTGTTATGTTATTATAGGTAATTATAATTTTAAAATAGGGTCAACTGAACACCAAATAAACAACGGCTTCTAAACCAAGCCATCAGCAACCGTTTAATACGACACCCAAAACTAAGAAAAGCTTTTTATTGCGCGCTAAAAAAATAAGAAATCAGTGTTATAAAATCCTGGGCCTGATTGTCAAACTTTCCGTGATATCTTTCAGAAGTAAAGCAAAGTGAATGTGACATAATAAAAGGTATTGCGGAAGGAGTACTTAGAAATAACAATATGGAGACTCAGAACAAGTAAACATAAAATGAGAAGATTTATACTGTATATTGTATTTTTTTCAAAGAAAATTTCACTAGCAAAAAAATCCACGCGGTCCTGGTATCACACGGAATTCGAATCCGCATCTTCAGCTATCCGGGCGGTCGCACTAACCAATTATGCTACCGACTAAATAGCCGTATCGAATTTCTTCTAGATTTCATAGGCTGCAAGGCAGCGCCTCTTCGCACTGTAATCCACAATGTCTGTCAATGTCAATGTCAACGAAATACCTTTATAAGTATTAAAAATTTGAAAGAAGAAATAGCAATTGTAGTCTATCTTCTATAATATAAAAATTAATTGCTGAATGTGTTGCTACGTGCAATCTCGAAAACAGCAGAACCGATTTCAATAATTCTTTTTTTAGAATATTCCTTGAAGTACGAGGATTTTACGCAGAGAAAAAATTTAAAAATGCCTGAAAATGTCCAAAAACAACACTTTTCTATATTCCCATACAAAGGATTCGTAATAATACTTAAAAGTCAATTTGAACTTTAATACCATACCATAAATTTCAAATGTTAGTGGAGAGATTCTGGGAAGGCAAAACAATTAATTGAGCGACGTGATGTCAATAGAAATTTGGAAAAGGCAAATATACTATTTTCAGTTTTTTTACAATTACTTATATGAAGAGTCATGTAAATCTACACTACAGCTCTACACCGAAGCAAAGCAAGGGCGGGCCACTAGTTATAAATATATTTTAACTGCCCGGATAGCAGAAGATACAGGTTCGAATACAGTTGGATATCTGGACCGCATTGAATTATTCTAGTATTTTTCTTAAGTTTTATACCTACTGAGATCCGTCATAATCATAAGCAAAAAATATCTTACTCATTACACGATAACATTTGAAACAACTCACCAGTGTAAATAAATGTGATACTCAACAACAGCATATCACGTGTGCAGAAAAGCTTTAAAGCGCCTTTAAAAGCTTCCATCGGGCCTTCTTCCTGAGTCCTGATTTCACCCTGTAAAATATATCATAAAACGTTTGAATAACATTGAGCCTGTTTCTTGCGTGATATTTAAATTCTAAATCTGACAGTAGTAGCTAGATACAATCCTTATCATGCTTTATACAAAATGAAAAGGAGAGACAGTTGACAAATTTATTTATAAGATAATAGAATCCTGTTAAAATTAAGCTTAATATGTGTATTCATTATTTCTGCCTTAAAGTCGTCTTTTGGCTAGGTAGTATAATCAACAAAAAAAAATATTATAGACTGTTCACCCGTGCGATCGAATTGTACTCCGTGCCCGCTTATAGCAGCAGATGCCCTTAAAGTGATTATGGTGAAAACAAAAACGCATGATTCTCATATCATATCTGCAACTTTACCTTAGCATCTTCAAGTGTAGGCGTCCGCCTAGCGGGTCTCAACAGCAGAAGGAACACGATTCCGACCGCGCAGACGCCCGTCAGCGCGCCGAACACCACATTACGAGTTTCCTTGTCGATGTGGCTCTTGCCTTGGAACTTTATGTACACAAACAGGTTGCCGAAGAAGAGACTGGAAAGAAATTAGAATATTTGGTTATGGTTAATCTAGCGGATTCCCTAAGGACTAAGCACAGAATTTTTGTTCTGTGGGACTAAGTGAAGAGTGTCACCTCACCATACCATATCACCACTATACTCCACCAAAGTGAACGAGATATACATAAATCTCTTGGGACGGTTCTCCTGGTTTCGCGTAAAACAAATTTGGTAATGTAATTAACTTTTTGATTTCCTCCCTGCGTTGTTTTCCTACTGCCACTTCAGCAGAGCAATCCTTCGAACGAAGTCGGTTACAAATATGGTTACTGTAGTTCTCCTACGGATTTCTAAACGACTATATTTCGCTTCTGTTGGGATCCACGATCGTGGAAGTTAATCAACTTTGATGCAATATGACCGTTCACTAAATGGGTGGCCAAAACCTTATCTCCAGTTCCTCATTGCTTCGGAAAGCACATTAATCTGTTGGTACCGACTGCATCTGCGGTCGTTAGCAAACACCAATACGCACTGGATCCGCCGGGGTGGGCCATGCCCTATTCTCCCTGAAAGAGCTGTGCCCCAGCAGAGGGAATATTAACAGGCTGATGATGTTGATAATAATCTGTTCTAAATAACTAAATTCCAAAGTTGTATATTAACCTGCACTGCAGCATAGCCCAGAACACTCCCGAGTTCCTCGAGATGGTCTCCGCATCGCTGTTGAGTGTCAGGTAGTTGCCCTGGCCGGTCCATATGGCGGCCGCTCCGGCGCCTATCAACACGCTCGCCGCATACAACAGCCACGTGCGAGGAAACAGGAAGGATACAATGAAGAACCTGTAACAGGAACAGGAATCGCAGAGGTCTGTAAGCACGAAATAGCATCACAAAATATGTATGATATATCATTCTATCATCACAAAGCGGGGATGAACGTTGCTCGCGCCCGCAGGAGAATGCTTTAGAAACTCTGCATGTGTTCCCTGGGTAGCGCTAAACGAGCAGCAATAGCAACAACCACGGGGCATAGGATGCTAACTCAATCCAAATAATCGCTAAGTAAATGCTCAGAATCACAGCGTACGTATTTGTATTTATTGCGTATGTGTATTGTGTCTCAGCTAAATACCAAAGACTTGGGCACTAAGCTAACAAAGACGCGAATCCCAACTTTAATATCAACGATTTTTATCCCAAGATTACCTGCAAAAAAAATCATCTAGATTATATAAAAAAAAACTAAGAGATATTTTTTATAAAGTCTATTAAAAGTGTATTGCATAATTTCCATTATGTCAATCGTGTTAATACTCTGCTGATATGCTGTGCTTCTACTCTGGATTACTTTGTGCTATCATGATCTCATTAGACACTGAAACTTATAATTATATTATTTATATTGCCAAAGTAAATAAGAAAAGCAGTTTTATTATAGAATGACACCATATGAGTGCGCGCTACAAATGCCGTGAATATAAAAAACTGGTTTAAAAACAAAGTGGTTTCAGAGCCTAGGTTTTTTTTTTATAGATAGATCCAACAAATGACTCCACCCGACCTGATGTTAAATGACGGTGAAGTCCAGACGCGAAGATAGCTGATACAGCATTTCTTCCTGCCACGCCAGCCACCCTCACCCTGCCGGCCTGCATGTTGCTTCTTCACGCCTCTTTTAAAGGATCCCAGGTTGTAAGAGGGATCGAATACGTGAGCGGGTAGGTCATTCTATTTACGGATAGTGCGACAAAGAAATGAGTCACCAAATCTCTTTGTACGCATTGGAATTGTGGCCACAGTTAGACGGCGGCAACGTAGGCCAGCGCGCGTGGTCCTCTGAAGGAAAGGGGAAGGTGGAATAAGAGAATAACTCCTTTTAATTTTTGTAATTTTGTAAATCTGATGCATTCATACAATCGTTTCCCGACAACTAATGACCCAATCAATGCATTATGATCGTGAGCTTGTTTAATAATAGCAATTTATCAAGGGAGATACGACTCATACCTAACGTGGGAGGATGAATTTCACATCTAAATCATGACTACATTTATATATCTGATCTGATATAAAAAGTAACGGACTCGATATTACTTTATTTTAAAAATATGGTTTGATACAAAATCTAGATCACTTGACAGACGTAGTCCTGCCCGATATTTTTTTTTATATCCTAAAACCCGACTAAAACGCCACCCATCGTATAGAGCTGGAAGTGAAGTTAAGTTTCCTTTTTTCATTTTCTGCGCAACTTCCATAAGAACATTTTACATAGTATCAGAAAACTTAAAAAAGCGGATAAAATCAAATATGTTTAGATAACTAGCGGCCGCCCGCGACTTCGTTCGCGTTAACTTTAGTTTTTTTGAAAATCCCTCAGGAACCTAACATTTTTCCTCAAATCAGGTCAGAAACTAGATGCGTACCAATTTTCATCCGTTATGTGCTTTACACGTGAAAGCGTAACAAACAGAGAAAAAAACAAACTCACTTTCGCATTTATAATATTAGTTAGGATAATAGATATTTCAACTACTATTGTCTAGTGGTGTGGTCTTGTCTTTTTTTGTTCATACAGAATTTGTAACACGAAAATTTACTAAACATTCTCATTTTGTTTAAGTACTTATTAAGTTTATTTTGAACATTTCTCGTGCTTGAAAAAACATGTTTCTTAAAAATCATTTTCTTTTGAAATTTGTAAAATAAAAATATTTTTTATTTGGAAAGCGGTAAAATAAGTAGGTCTGTACTGTTTATACCTACTTTCTCATAATAAAAGGTAGGTCTTCAAAAAACAAGTGCATACATTTTAAACGCCATATCAGAACAAACAGTTATTAATACCGGCTATGTTAAATCTTCAATAAAAAAGGAAAATTACGAATCCGTAACATATCCTCCTTGACCCCGCTATGTTATGTTTTTATGATCCTGTCCGGAACGGTATTTCCATTCTTATTAGTTGTTACTAAATGACATTCACTTGTGACATTTTATAGAAGACTTTGGTCCAAATAAGCGGCAGGTTTAGCTAAGAAATGAACGTTATTATTTTAACATTTCTATATCAAAGAAACTAAAATTAGGTAAGGCTAAATGACAAAGAAAATTAGTTAGTTCTTATGTTACAAGTATTTTAAAGATCACGTTTATTGGTTCTCTATAATTACATTATACTTAACGAAGATATACCTAACCGGGTAAACGTGTTAATTAATAGAACCACAAAAATCTTATTCATCTGTAAAACAAAGCGTCATTACATTGCATACTTGACAACCTAAATGGACGCAAAAAAACTAGCAGCAGGAAAAGTGAAATGGAAACACATTTTTGGCGGGTGGGTTCAACAATGCCAAGCAACCTTGAATTATAAAATGAAGGTTTTTATAACAACTAGATCGATACATATAGGTAATGGTATTGACATCGAATATATTATTTAAAAAACCTGTGTGAATTGTAATGAATAATAATCTCATGACGATTTAATTCCAGATATATTATGTATCAGATCCATTCTGAATATAATAATTATTTTCGTTGTTCAGAATATGTTCGTACCATTGTTCAGATTTCAGATACCTTGCTCCTGATCTTAAAAAGACCTAATAATACCGCGGCAACTAGGACACTTTCGAGAACTATTGCAACCAATGGTATTTCCTATAAACAAGTTAACATAAAAATGGAAACCATTGAATTTAGAGCCGATTTAAAATAAATAAATGTGTCGATTCGGACACTGTGTTCGAATATTTGTTGTCAGAATCGTCAGCAACTCGACAGTTCTATTGCCTGATATTGCCTAATCCTTTACTCCAGCCATGAATCGTGATCTTTGAGATGACGAGAAAGATCTAGAAGTATTTTTGTACGAAAGGGACAATGTTCGTGATAATTTATGTAGGTATGTATGTTTTTCGACGACAATAACTACGGATATCGTAATTGTTTTTACGTATTATGGTGGCATTGCCATCCCCGCATTGGTGTAGCAATGATATGAAATCTACAATGTATTACTTAACTGTGATGACAGAAGTGTTATTTAGTAGGTAATACTATTAATTTATTAACATTCATGCGTCTACCCTTCTTTTGTCTTAATGTATATAAAATGCGTAAGCACATTTTTGTTAAAAACTTAAGACAATATAATATCTGGCTAATGCCGATAAAACTGTATTTTGTAACCAAGAAAATTTACCTTCTTATCTACACGCCCATTTTACATGATGAAATATGAAAATTAAATGCAAAACTTATCGAAACCGCATACTTCGACTACAAAAACAGCTGTAATAATTGTAGTATTAGTGTCCATCTCAACTTAAATTGTAAATCAGCGATTATAATTTTGTACCTAGATATAATTTAATAAGGTAAATACACACATCAAAAGTGTCTAGGGATCAACATATATTTTTGCAATAACTTTTCTCCTGATTGATATTAATTAAAATTTTCTTTAAGGATTCATCAAATAAAGTGTTTTCGTTTGTCACAGTAACGATAAACCAAGTCACCTTTGCATTAATAAAGAAATTTGCCATTTTCCTAATAAAGGGATTTTTGACATTTGAACCACTAACACAAAAGTTCGAAAAAAAGACTGAAATAACAGTTTTCTCTAAAATTTTATTGGGTAACTTAAACAATTAATAATCCGTATTTCTACCGCGAACACTAACAACACAAGAACATCGGTTTGGCATACTCAAAATGAGTTCATCCAAATCACGCTGTGGAATGGCCGCCCATGTTCGTTGCAACAACAAAAAAAGGTCTTCTTGCGACTGGATACCCTCCATATTCGGCAGAGCTCTTCTCTGTAGCATATCCCATGCATGCTCAATCGGGTTCAAGTCTGGCGACTGAGCAGGCCAGGGCAGGACATTGATGTTAGCTGCGGCGAGAGTCTGTCTTACAACTCTTGCGGTGTGCGGTCGTGCATTATCATGCATTAACTGAAATAAGGGACCGATTTGCACTTGTAGAGGAACGATGACGTCTGATACAATCGTCTCAGCATAAATTTGAGCGTTGAGGTTGCCTCTGATCCAAATCAACTCAGTTCTTCCGCCGATCCAAATACCCGCCCATACCATGATGGTTCCACCACTATAAGGATGGACTTCCTGGCAGGATTTTAATCGCTGTTGGCGTCCAGGGGTTCTCCAGTGTCGTATACGTCTTGTATCCGGTCTCATACCAAAACGAGACTCATCAGAAAAGCACACGAAACGCCATTGTTCTTCTGCCCAATTTCTGTGTTCAAGAGCCCATTGATATCGAATCCTACGATTGTGCATTGCTATAGGTGGTACCCGTAGCGGTCTTCGGGAATGAAGGTTCACTTCATGCAAGCGGTTTCTGACTGTTTGGTCGCTAATTAAGTTCCCTGAAGAGTGATGAAGCCTCACGGCTAACATCATGGCGGTTATTGTTGGAGCTCTTCGAGTTAAGATTTGAATGTATCGGTCTTGTCTCCGTGTGGTGCAGCGATACCGTCCTCCATGGCGCTCAGCCACGGTACCAGTGCTTCGGTATCGTGTCCAAAGTCGACTGATAACACTCTGACTTGTATTCAGAGCTAAAGCCACAGTACGTTGCCGGGAACCAGCTTCTATCATTCCCACGGCTCTGAGCATTTCTTCCCTGCTTAAATGACGTCGCCGCTCCATAATAATGTTGGTTTTAATCAGTAGTAGGGAAACAGTAGCACTAATAATGTCTTCAATGCGTTGTATGTTTTTATAGGGAAAATATTGACAGCTGATTTTCATCTTTTACTCGAATTTGATTCACAGTTCCTGATTCAAATTATGAAATGC